AGCTAGCATCAATAAATAAATCAAGTCATATATCACACCGTCAGACATAAGCATTAAGGCTTAAAATATGAACATTTCCCCACAGATGATGTATAACAGACACAATCATATATGTCCTGCAAGGGAGTGAGAAATATACAAGGCACACTAATGGTACAAGCATAACAAATAGTGTCCCACAAATAAAGTAGAACACAGAAGCATCAAGCCAAAATTTAAAACATTTCTCAAAGGTACCTCGCACATTTAACAGACAAATCAGTAGGTACAAAGAAGATTGATAAATCAATAAGGGATTAAGAAAGGATGTTATAACAAGGCAATGAGATGATGGAAAAATATCAAGGCCATTGATGTAAGAAATCTCAAGCAAGCACAGTCAACAATTAGGTCAAAGTTAATGAATTGTTGCTCCTTTCTTGTCACCATGTTGAATTAACAATGGAATGTTAATCAAGGATCAAAGGAGCTTTGTATGACATCAAATAATCTATAACAAGTCATAATCACAAGCAATTCAATCCAAAAAAATGAACTCCAAATGAATTCAAAAGATAAATCACAAAAGCATCTTTCTAAATATATTCACAAAGGATAAACCAAATTGACAAAATAGGCAAGTGATGAGAACTTGAATGGTTAAATTATGAACTCAAGTCTACAAAATAGGGGAGAGGATGACAAAAAGAAAAGATATTAATCTCTCATGGGTTGCACAACTGCCTCCCTTTACCTCTAATACAATAGGTCATATAAGCACAAATGAGAAAGATGATTGAATCCAAAATAGAAATAAGATTTGCAAAAATAAGACAAAAATATTTCATGGTTCAAATAATGTCAAAAGGTTAGGAGCATCAAGCTTAATACAAAATTAACAAAACCTAAGTTGAAAACTTAGACAAATAAGTTAGTCTAACTTGAACAAGCCTCTCATTTGGAAACCTTAGTTGGCATATTGGGGAAAATATAAAATCAACTCCTAAAATTAAGGAAAATTAAGTATACATCCCTAAGGTCTCATATTATCCTATCCTATACAGGAATTGACTTAGGAGTCAAGGGAAATGGCTCAAAGAACCCTAATGTGTGACCTAAGCAATCAAAAATGTATGAAACCAACAAATAATGTTCAAATTTTCAAAAGAGGTCAAGGACACCAAATAAAATTGAAATAAAATTCACAAAACTAGGAAATGGCCTTAAGAAGTCAGAGAATATTTTTTTGATTTTTAGAATTGAAAGAGAAAAAATAATTAAATCAAAACATGACAATCTTTACTTAAAAACCCTAATTAAATTCTAAATTTTTCTTAATCAACCAAAAATGCTAAAAATGTGAAATAAAAATAGGAATCACTTATATGCCAATCAAAAGAATCAAAATAAAATTTTGAGAATTTTTGTACTAAGGAAAATAATTAAATCAATTGTGAGAATATTTAAAATGCAACTAAATGTCACAAATTATTTGATTAATTAAAAAAAGTAAAAATCTTGAATAAAAATTAAAAACTAAAACTAGACTAATCAAAATGCCTAAAGTATTTTTGGTATAATTTTTGTACAAAGAAAAAGTCAGAAACAAAATTTTATAAGGAAAAATTATGTAAAAAATAATTAAACAAAACTAATTAATCTACGAGTTTTTTCCACAAATCAAAAAGTTTTTAAAAATTCCATAAAAATTATGACAAATATTAGAAATTAAAATCAACCTATGGTAATGTTTTTAGAATTTTTGAAAATATTTTGACCAAAGAACAAAATTAGAGAAAACAATTAAAAAGAAAAATATGAAAATTGCAATAAGATTTAAATGGACCAATCAGATCCAGCCACGCCATCATCTTGTTCCTCAAGACAAAGCCCTAAACACGCATTTTCTCAGTCCAAAACCCTATGTTCTACTTGCGATTTCTAATTTGTTTCTCCACGAAATTTAATGATTCGATGCCCAAAACAAAGCCAGATCCAAGCTCTACATCATACTTCTTCTAGATTTTAAAATGATTCACTAGGTAATTAGAAATCTGGACGGGAAAATTGCAAAAACTCACTGAATACGAAATTTCAGAAACACTCAAACATCATTCCAGCTTAAATTCAAACCAATTTATACATCAATCCTAGTGATTGGCCAGCTAGCAACTCAATGAACACAAAATTAAACATTAAAACAAGCTGGGAGCATGGATTTGAGTTTGAATAAGCTTACCTTTCGAGTTGAAAAATAAATTCAACTATGGCCTCTAAACAGCAAAGAAACCCCTCTAATCTTGCTCCTTGGACTTCAATGAAGTTGATTTGAAGGAGAAATGAGAGCTGGAATTGAGGATGAAAATTGCTCGATTCAAAATCCAAAAAAAAATGAGAGAGAGAGAGAGAGAGAGAGAGAGCTTCAGAAATTCTTTGCTTGCCTTCCTATCCTGTGAATGGAGGCAATGCTGAGCTTTTATAGAGTGAGTAGAGTGAGGGCATAAAGGACTTTGAGCAATAGAGACCGTTGGAGGGAAATTTGAGTCTTTTTGCAAAAATAAGAGCATCAGAGTGATGGCTGCGTTTTGCTTTGGTTTTGTGATCACTTGCTTGCGTTTTGGCAGCTGTATGAGCTCATGAGGAGTGTGTGATGGTGTGAGGTGGCAAGCACACGCACATGATCATATATTTTTTGATTTCATCAAACTTCCAATTTTAGCAAAAATGCCAATTATCTTGCATGGCATGTGTGCATGAAATACACAATTTGTTGGGTCATTTTTGGCAATAGAGGGAGAGAAAAATCGTGCCACACATGTGCAATATTAACTTAAAACCAAACAAAAATGAAATGGTGCATAAAATCTGATATTTGCATAGCCCATGCATGCACCAAAAGTCAGCTGACTTCTAATGGAGGATGTTGTACCCAAAAATTTTCCCTCCCATTTTTCATTCAAGATGTTCTCCTAGGGTTTCTCAAATACTCAAATTGGCTAAGGATTAGATCAAACAAATTCCCCTCCTAGGCATTGAGTCAGCAGTTAGGGTTTGTTATTTCTCAAGCAAATTTGAGTTTCCATGGTTTCAAATGGTCTTCATGGTTCTTCATGTATTCTCAAGGATGTTCGTGTCAGTTTTCAAGCCTTGCATCGCGAGTTTGCTCAGTCATTGGTTCAGATGACTTAAAATGAACTGCATTGACCCAAAAATCGACCTTTACGAGATCAAGTTCAAACGATTGTAACTTCTTCCTTGTTTCAATATTCTTGATTATTTCTTTTTGCATATAACTCTCCTTGACATCATCTTCAACTTCTCTTTACAAGTCAAGAGCTGATTACATGCGAAAGATCATCGAAAATTCGAATACTTTAGAGGTCACTTTTTGGTTTTGACCTAATTTCAGATAATTGTTGCCTGACTCCCAAGTGTCATAATGTCCTCAATTTTCAAGATCTCGAGACGGCTATTTTTGCACATTGTCATAAGAGATGTCATCAACAAGTCCTCTTCAAGAAAAATGAACTGTAATGCTTCACTAAATTTCAAGGTGCGGAGTTCTCAACACAGCAACTTTTATCTTGAAGCCCACTTGTATTGATCATTCAAGGCCTTTTAGGTTTGGCTCGATTTATGATGCAAGATGAGTTGATTTGTGAACGGTCGATGCAAGGCGTGCCTTTTAAGTATTCAAAGTGGGTTTGAAAATTTTCATATTTGAAAATTCTTTGAGAAGAAAGGTGAATTTCATGGTGTGATTAAATTCAGTCCATTTCGAAAGAGGAATCTATCAATAACTCTTGGAGTTTTTATCCTTTAAAAATTCAAAGGTTAAATCGAATGTGCAAGGCACAGTTCCTTTATTCATCGACTTTTATTTAAAACATTCATCATCATTCAAGATGTCAAGTTCTTATTCCATTCAAGAATTTGATTCAAAATTTAAGATTCAAATATTATTCCAGTTTCAATTCTAATTCAAAGAATTCAAATGGTGGATAATGAGAATATGATCAAAGTCATGATTATGGATTGAACATGGAAAGGCTAAGTAAAATTCACATGAAAATGGGAAGAGAAGGATATTATTGGAGAATGTATCATTACAAGAATATTCGAAATTCCAAATAATTTCCATTTTTGCATTCATACAAATATCCATTCAAATTTCCAAGTTCATCATGAATTCAAGTTCATTCATGAGAAAGTATTTAAGTATACACTTGAATTCAAGGCTCATCCATAAATTTCATGATTCAAAACCATTACACCATTCTTGATTTCATTACAAAATTACATTCACAAGTACATGAAAACTAAAGTTCTAAAGCCACACATAAACCATATCCTAATTAACCCCAAAACTTATACAAATTAACCCCACAAGTTATCAAAATTGTCCACTGCACTGCTACCCAAAACCTGTTACATAAACCTGTCAAACATGTTCACAAACTAGCCCATAAAACTGTCAAAACAGCCTTGCTACCTTGCTGCAAAACAACAGCCTTGTTGCTGTCCCAAAACCTACTACTACCCTGCAAAACCAACTATACATACTGTCCAAAGTATGCATAATAATACCAAGGAAATCAGTCCAAAACCTTTACCAAACAGCCCAAAGTTTGCATAAATTCAACAATACAAAAACTGCAACCAAAGAAAGCAATGAAACAGTGCCTAAAATTGTTCAAATTCATCTCATTTTCCCCTCCCAATTCAACCCCTCATGCTGCTATAAACCAGAAGACAAGGGGACTAAAAAAAAGGAGACACTACTATTTATTACACCCTTCACTATTTCATACATTCTTCATCTCTAAAAACCTTATTCACGACTTCAACTCAAACTCTCCATATAGAGGTAACAGACAAAGGTAGAAGAAGAAGAAGAATAGTTTAGGGGAAATAAGCATACATGGTTTCATGAGTCGCTGTCAAAATAGCATCGGACGAACTCTGATAGGTATATTTCTGGTTCCTCTTCTCCGTTAATCATATCTCATAAATAAATTGCGATGCTTGCTTACCATACCTTCTTTGCTGCATTTTTTGAATTGCTGCATTTGTTGACATTTGGAGTGTTTAAAAGGTAAGTATTGATAATAAAAAACAGCCGACGAAAATAGTAATAACATCAAATATAAAATTTACCTTCAAATGTCTGTCTGTGTTCAAAGACACCCAACAACCTCACAACAACAACTCAGTAGTGATAACTCCAGAAAAAAGGAAAAAGAGGAATATAACCAAAATGAAGCAAAGAAAAGTTTTGAAACCAATACCGTGTCGATCATTGACCATGACATCTCCACCGTCTCAACACTAACCACCTTCCAATCCAATCCACCTCCATTCATTTCAATCCACCACCGCCACTACAACCCATCAACATCGTCCTCCATCACCACCCAACACCAAAATAACCTCTGTATTCTCCATACCGCCAACACTCCCATCAACATCGTCCTCCGTCAACTACGCCACCGCTTTAGCCGACTTAGAAAAATCAAACAACACCCTCTTCCCTGAACTCCACCGCACTAAATCTTTCTCCGCCTCCAAAAACGAAGGCTTCTCTGGCACATTCAAGCCTCGGCAAAAATCTTGCAACGTTCGCAGCTGTAGCACTCTATACTCTATCTTCAATCAAGCCGACCAACGTAAAATCCCCAAACCGGAACCTCCGCGTCTCCTCCCTGAGATTGATACCAGAAACCTAGATTCTTCATCTTCTACTCTTCAACAACCTTTCATCGAGTCAGCAGACGACGAAGACGATTAAGAAGAAAATAACATTATCGTTGAAGATTCAGACAAATACGAAATTAGGGGTTTAGAACCGCCACAACCACGAGAGCAGAGAGAATGAGTTTGAGAGGTGGTGATGACGGTTGGCAAGAGGGAGAGAGAATCATTTTTTTTCTTTTTCAACTTTTTCTTTTTTTTGTTGGAATTAACGATGATAATGATAATTTGTATTTTCCCTTTAAAAGACAACTGACCTTCAGCGACGCCGTTTCATTTAGTTTGTTTAGGGTTTACAATTTTCCTTTGTACACTTTCTCAGCTGGGTCAGCCCATTGGGCCTTTTGGCCCAATCCTCCTATATGTTTTCCCTTTTGTTCTAATAAAGACTTAGTGATAACAAAAAAACAGAACAATTCAATTGGCAAGGCGTTATTTACAGCAACCAGGGGACCCGAGTTCAACCCATGCTGGGGCCTTTTTCTATTTTATTGATTCTTTTAGATAATTGATAACAAAATTAGTTTAGGTTGTAGTTTTAAAACTCAATTAAGTGAATGTAATTTTCAAAATGAATTATTTTTTAATTAGTTTAGTTAGGAATTTTGTAAATAATTTTACTAATTAACTTTTTATTTAGTCTTAAATTGTTTTGTTTAATTTCTTCATGATAAAAAATACAAAAAAAATATATACATATGATTTAATTTCTTCTAGTCAATTATTTTTTCTAGAATAGGTTTTATTTTCTCTTCAAAATTCCTCACAAACAAAACACCAAGAGCTTTATTTCCATACTTTGTTAATTAATTTTTACTTCATAGGTTGTTTTAGTTTTAATTAATTGTTCAATTCGATTTGGTTGTATTGATTGCCTATTTAGAATTTTAATCGCATTGATCCATCCCCATTTGTAAATTTGTACCCCCATTCTCGAAAGCTCTGTAATAGCGTAGAATTTTAATTTTCGTAATTTACTGTTTTTCTTTATCTTGTATAGTAATTAGGCGTGTATGGTAAGATTTAAAATCAACAGCTAGACAACCCTAATCAAAGACAAATTAACTTGAATCAAACACACATTTCACACGCACACCTTTAAGGTAATCTCGTTTGTTGCCTCAGAAAAACAGTCATGTCCCTCGAATGTGGGACGCTTTAGCAAAGACCCTTCGATAAAAAAGATCGTAGTCCCTCGATGTTGCCTTCGGTAAACGATCTAGTCAATTACGAAAATTGCTAAAGCATCTCACAAGTTGCCTTCTATGACTGTTCGATTCACCCGTGCCCGTCCCTTCACATCCAATGATGGGGCTTCTTATCAATCAATGGTAAGATAGCAACATCTAAAGGAGGAGGAAAAGAAAAAAGACCTTTTGAGTAGGTAGGGTGCTCATAGTTGCCCGCTTTCTCACAACAAAAACATTTTATACACCAACACTTTCATTTGAAACATTTTCAAAAGACAAAGCTCTTTGTACGCATTCTTATAGAAACGAGAGTCATTACAAAGATACTTTTCAAAATCACTTTCAAAAACATATTCCACAACCACCTCTTTGAACTATTTTCAAAACCAACACTTTGTACGCGTTCTTTTCGAAACGAGAACCATTACAAAGACGTTTTTCAAAATGCTTTCAAAAAACACACCACAAGCACATTTTCAAACAAAAGCAAGTGATCTAGAAAGAAACTAAGAGATCATAGATAACTACGGATGGAAAGGGTGCTAATACATTCCCTTTTCATAACTACCCCCCGAGCTCAAGAAATAATCACGAAAGGTCTTTCCTGTTCTTTTCAACCTTTCCTTATTGGATAAAAGAAAAGTTGGTGGCGACTCTTGCTATCCGCAACAATTGTGATCATACGCAAAACACCCAAGTCAGTTCTCCCAACGTGTTACAGAATTGGCGACTCTTCTGGGGACTTTGACTTAAAAGTGGGGTTACCTTAGGGCTAGATCACCTTTACTTGCTTTCTTTGTTTGACTTGTTTGCTTTACATATTTTTGGGTCTTTGCTTGGGCTTTTGTTAAAGATCCTATACCCGGAATGGGGAACCTTTTTAGGTAAGTGGCAATAAATCATGGAAGTTGTACAGCGTAGACCGATATGGCCAAAGTGATAGCTAGGTTAGCGTGATACTCTGGCTTGTACTAATGTTCCTTGAGTCAGTCAAGGATAACATTAGGCTTCCTTATAGTGTCATTAAGCGCTAACTAACCTTTAGAACCTTTATTTGACTCATCCTAAGCCATTAGAAAGTGGTGAGATAGTCGTCTTTGGTTCCGACCGAAGTTTGGTTGATACTCGATGCTACACTCATTGAGATTGGACTTTTGGGATATTCTGGCCACAATACTTCGGTGCTTGAGCTAGAACAATACCTAAAATAAAGGTCAGTGATATGAGACTCCTTAGAACCCTGTTACTTTTAATAGGACAGGTTGAGCCAACTAAACTTCAAGAGGGTACTTACCTTTAAAAACTCACGCAAGCCATTAAACCGGGGGTCTTTTGTGTGACTTGCTTGATATGTCTGTGATTTCAAAGCATAACCATAACATCATAAACATCATGACATACATGCTAACCATTTCAAGGGGCTGGAGATTTATCTTTCCTTTTTGTTTTGTAGGATATGGATTTAACTCACGGAAAGACCATCCGAATCAATTTTGTAGAGGTCCCTCCCAAGCTCAAATAATTGGTCCTGAGAGTTCCCGAGAGCTCATCATTCAACAAGAGATATGGTCACTTGCTCAGTTTGGTTACTACCGGGTTTGACGAAGGTCTGATGAGTGTTCTGTTCCATTTCTTTGACCTTAAACACCATTGCTTCACTTTTCGAGATTATTAGTTGGTGCCTACGCTGGAAGAATTCTCCAAAATACTTGGGTCACCTATATTGGAGCAAGTACCTTTCACCAATTTAGAACAATATCCAGTTGCTGAAGGTGTTTCCATAGCCTTGCATTTGAAACCATCTGACATTGAATCCAATTGGGAAAGAAGAAATGGAGTTAAGGGCCTCCTTGCAAGTTTTCTAATGAAGAAAGCTCAGATATTCTTAGATGCCATGAGTTACCATTCCTTTGAAGATGTCCTAGCTCTGTTAATATAAGGGTTGGTTTTGTTCCCCAATTCAGACCAATTTATAGATGTCAGTGCCATCAACATTTTCCTTGCTTGCAATCCAGTGCCTACATTGCTCGGAGACGTGTTGTATTCACTCCACACTCGTACCATGAAGAAACGAGGGACTCTTATGTGTTGTATGCCTTTGCTCTATCGGTGTTTTATTTCGCATCTACCTTGGTAAATAATGAAGAATGACTTAGGATTAAGGTGTAATCAAAGCATAATGTCCCTTTCTCACTCTGATATTTATTGGTGCCCACGCTCTCAAGAAGACATCTCTTTTATTGATCGTTGCGGATAATTCCCTAATGTGCCGCTCCTTGGCATTAGAGGAGGCATCACTTACAACCCTTCTTTGGCCCTACGTCAGTTCGGCTACGCCCAGAGGGATGGTCCCCATGATATGCTCGTCCAGGGTATTTTGTTTGACTATTCAAATGATCTGCAAGGTTATCGCTAGAGGTTCATTCGCGCTTGGGGCATGGTAAAGAAGACCGATAGCAGTTCTTTGGGACTCAAAAACTCCATCCCTTTGGAGCCTTACCTCAGATGGGTGCGAGCTTATGCTCAAAGTCTTATGATGCCATACGCTATTATCCTGCTAGTTATCTCAGAGTATATTGATCAAGAAGACGAACCTCGCATCATTTTTCATCCTGATATGCCAACAAACTTCGAAGAGTTTAAAAAGTCTTGGATCCATCTCAAGGAAGAACGAGACACCTTTTAGAATCAATTCTACGCCAGTGAGAAAAAGGTTCTGGAGCTTACAAAACAGCTTCATGAGGAGCAAAATATGAACGCCTACATTGCGCCAAAAAGGATGCGTTTGACCTTTTTGTCTTAGGAGTTTATTTTGATTTATTTCCTCCATTGTAAGCCCAAGGGGCATGATTGTAATCAATTTAAACTTATTAATACAATTGGTGTTTACTCCTTTCTTTGTCAATAACAAATTTAAATCTTCTAAGTCCTTGAAAACATTGCATCCACATACCATGAATCTAGAACAGAATATCAAGGACATTCAGACTCAAAATGCTCAACTTCAAGAAATGTTCTTGAACCTGTCCAAGGGACAAGAAAAGGTGAAAACACTCCTCACTAGGGGGATGATCATGGGGAATCCTGAGGACAACAAGGATGACCAGTTGGAACGGCTACAAACTGAAATGGCAACAATGAAAATCTAGATGATGGGACAACTAGTGGGCCAGATGGCTCTTATCCAAAACTTAGCTTAGGGACAAGAGGAGCTAAGGACCCTCGTCAACAAACTTCATCAAGACAGTTGCAACCATATGAAACAAACCATCGAGATTGGGGATCAAGTCATCATTCAGCCTCCCATGAGGCAAGGAGCCGGTTTCATGGAAAGTAGACCTTTCCAATTTGCTGCCACGTCACGAGCCCAACAACCACCTCGTCAACAAGGATAGGGTAATCAGCGTAAACGGAATGCACCCAATAGGCAATATATCAAACTTAACATGCCAATGTCGCAAGTCTTGCTACACATGTTGAATCTGAATTTGGTCACACTGAAGGATCCTCCTCGGAATCCTAACACTGTTGCTCCTAGTTATCATCCCAATGAAAGATATGCATATCACTCCAACAGTCTGGGGCACGATACTGATAGTCGTTGGACATTGAAAAACAAGATTCAAGACCTGATCGACGAAGGAGTGTTGGAATTTGCACAAGACGGTCAACTGGAGCTTTTCTATCACCCCTCAAGGGAATCCATATGAAGTGACGATCTGGGCGAGGAAATTTTCTGTTTATTGGAATTTTCAGTTGTAATTTCTTTGTTTACTTAAACACTTATCTATATGTCAGACTTTGGTCATTTTCATTAATTCATTAAATATGTTTGTCTTGATTAATC